TCCCCCAAGTAACGAGGGGTAGAATTGTGAGTGACTAAGGAAGATCCAAAAGGATCAAATCTCTTGAGGAAACCTAGTCCCAAAAGGAAATAAATGTACCAAGGGAAGTTTTTCATAACTCCACGAGAAAATCATAATATGACACGTGGAATTAAGGTTGGAACACCTTAACCTAATTCTACAAGAACTTTCTCTTTATAAATAGTCATGTACATCTAAAGCAAAAAGTACTCTCTCTAAACCCTTGCCAATCTTTGCTTATTTATCTCTCCCATACCCAATTCTTCATAAATATCATTTGCCGATAGTTGACTTGACTGTCGAGGTGCCAAATATCGTCAATCCCTTTTCTTGGTCTAGTAATTTTGACATTGTTGTTTGTTTCCAATTGTGCTAGAAATGTACTAGTAGATAGGGACGTAGTTACATTCAGAATCCACATAAAAGTTTACACTTTTCGCTTAAGCTTCGCGTCGTCGCCTCTGTACAAGAGTGGAGATACGATGCCTTGGTAAGGCCGGCGGCGGTTAAGGAAACTCATTTCGGGTTTGCCTTGTCAATTTCAAAAGAGACTCACGAAGCATAGAGATAATAGTCATAAGAGGATGAATCCCATAAGAAACTGTCTTATTAATCCTTACAAATCAACCATATCAACCCCTAGAAATCATTGCAGAAATAAAATAGATCCAAATGGACAAAATCTATCAAGAAAACCTAATACCAAAAATAAATAAGGGAAAAATTCATTTCTCATATTTTTACTATATACTATTTCAAAAATAAGAAAACAACTTTCAAATTTCTAAAATCAGCTAATTTATATTTAATAGTTTTGTTTAAGAATTAATTTGTTATTAATAAAGATGCATTTTTTTGGTTAATTAAATAATTAATGATGTAATGTTTATGTAATTGATAAATAATTAGATGTGTGATTTTGATATTGTGATGTAAGTTGGTAAGATCGAAGAAAATAAGCAAAAGTTGACAAATTTGGAGAAATGGCTAAATTGTAAGGGATCCAAAGTTTGGGTACTAAAATATAAATACTTAAAAGTTATGCCGAACCTCACGATGAAGATTTGAGAGTGCTCGGAGTCAATTGGATAAAGGAAGACGTCAATTGAATCAAATTTAGTCAAAAGATGATTACAAATCAATCTCCAATCGAAAAGTTATGTTCCAATGTTTTAGTCTCATATTGAGACTTATTTTTGGCATAGAAAGTGACCGAATTGGATAATGATGTCTGAATCAAATTGTAGCCAGATGAGTTAGCTTTCCAACGTATTTTGAATCGCCTCAATCGGACATTGGAATACAAAGTTATGATAAAAACACTGAAAGAAGGTGCATCTGCCTGTTTAAAACAAGAAATTCCGTTACATAGTCCGTTAAAACAACAAATTTCGTTAGTTTTTCTGTTAAAAACAAGAATTTTCCGTTAAAAACAAGAAATTCCGTTACATAGCCACTTTTAATATATAGAAGATATATATATATAT